CCTTGGCCTCCCAAAGTGCTGGGATTACAGGCTTGAGCCACCGTTCTTTTATATATTCTATCGTACTGATAGGATGATGCTGACTCTCTACTAATGCAAAATTTTTAACATACCAGAAGGTGGTATTTCAGAGTTAGAAGAGACATAAATCATGTGATCTATCCATATCTCTTATCAATGGGGCAGCTTGCGTATTTAACATGCATTTCAAATAGTACCTCCTGGATGATGACTTCTAATAATCTGATTTTTGTCCATCCCCCAAAATCAAAATGTATTGCACTGTATGTGGCAGGCAGCCTCTGGGATGGCCCCAGTGATCCCTGCTTCCTGATACACCATTGTGTAATTCCTTCTCCTTGAGTGTGGATGAAACTTGTGACTTGCTTCTAACCAATAGACTATGACAAAGGTATGAGAATGTCACTTTTGTAACCAGGTTTCTTAAGGCAGTGACTTCTGTCTTCCTAGATGACTCTATTGCTATCTTGACTTGCATACTTTGATGAGGCAAGTTGCTATGTTGGAAGGGCCCTATGCCAAGGAACCGAGGGCAGCCTCTGGCCAACTGCTCCAGGGGAACTGAGGCTGCAAACAGCCAGAGCAGGGCTGAATCTGGCCAAAAAATGCTGATTGAGCTTGGACGCAGATCCTTCCCTAGTTGAGCCTTCAGAGGAGACCCCAGCCCCAGATGACACCTTGATTGCACTTTTGGGAGAGGCCCTGAAGCAGAGGACCCAGGTAACATATGGTCAGCTTCCTGACCCACAGACTGTGAGACAGTAAATGCATGTTGTTTTAAGCTGCTAGGTTTTAGGGCAATTTGTTATGCTGCAATAGACAACGAATACACTGTACTATATTTGTCTCTTTCTCCAGCAGGACCAGAAGTTGACGGTTTAAGGTCCCTGGGTCTTTGTCATGTGTGTTTAGCTGTTTACCCACCACTGACAAACTTCCTGCCAGGACCCATCTGTAAAACGGGAAGCCTGAATCCCTGGGAATGGCTCCTAGTGCTTCGGGAAGGGGCTCTGCACCACCCTCCATTAAGGAAGTATTAGCTGCCAAGGTCACGCTGGTGCAGGTGCTGTGCTGCACATTTCCCGTGTTTCACTTAGGCCCTTCGGGCCTCCCGCTAGAACTTCCTTAATTGTCTTTCCCCACCTAAGCATCATTTAGCTTATAAACCAGAGGCAGCAAGCCAATTACCCACTGGAAAAACCTCAGCCAGGCAGCAGGGCATTAACCACACCAACTGGTGTCCCACAGCAAAGGTCTGAATGCAGATTCACATCCCAATCTGGTTCATAAGCAGAGGCGCATGAAATAAACTCCTTTTGAGAAAGAGGGAAATTAGGGGAGATACGGAAATTTTGCGTTGCATAGGACATCGGGCAACCACTCCACTGGTGACTTCAGTATCTGATGTGCAAAACGGGGATCTACTTCCAGGTCCCACAGCCTTTGATTCTTACTCTGACACAATCTGGGTTGCTCTTTGGGTGCTAAATCAACTATCCAATGAGGATCACAGAATACCTGTCTTCAAAGGGGGTTGTAGAATTAAATGAAATAAGTAAAACACGTGAAATGTGCAGCACAGCGCCTACACCAGCGTGACGGTGGCGGTTCGTACTTCTCCACGGGGTCTCAAGTCCCGAGGAACTGGGGTCGCGGGCGGGCGGAGCGCAGCTGGGATCGGGGCCGGGCGGCCTGCCCTGCCCACGTGGGGCCGCGGCCCGTCGAATGACTCCTTGCAACGTGTTGTGGTGGCGGCAGCGGTGGCGCGGGCTCTTCCGGGCGCCGCAGTTTCCTGCCAAGCACCGCGCAGCCGCCTGCGCCGCAGGAACCCCCCGTGCAGGCCTCGGCGCTGGTACGGATCCCGGGATTCAGCCGCGCGCGCCCTGCCCGGCCCCGCGCCGTCCCCACCGCACGATGCGCGCGCTGCCGCCGCCCGCGCCGCTCCTGCTGCTGCTGCTGCTCGCGCTCCTGGTCGCTCCCGCGGCCCGCGCCAGCAGAGCCGAGTCCTTGTCCGCGCCGCAGCCCGAACCCGAGCGCGAGTCGCGGCCGCCGCCTGGCCCGGGCCCCGGGAACGCCACCCGGACCGGGTCTGGGGCGGCGGGCGGCGGCGGCAGCTCCAACAGCAGCGGCAACGCCTTGGTGACCCGCATTTCCACCCTCCTCCGCGACCTACCCACCCTCAAGGCAGCCGTGATCGTGGCGTTCGCCTTCACCACCCTCCTCATCGCTTGCCTGCTGCTGCGCGTCTTCAGGTGGGCCCTTCCGCCCTGTTCCTTCCCCCGCCGGCCCACAGGGAGCCATCGCCAACCTGCTGCAGCGCGCGCCCGCCCCACCTGCACGCACAGGTGCCCTGGGCCAGCCGCGCGCCTCCTGCCCTGCCCGGGACGGTGGGTGGGGGGCCGGGGTGCGCTCGTCTGGATTTTCCTGGTACATGTTTTAGGAATTTTCTTTCCTCTCTTTAACGATATGTATATGTCATAACTATTTGCTTCCATTTATTGACTTTCTGCTAATGCTAAACACTAACAAGAGCGCTCTGAATTCTGACAGCGTTTCCCAGAATTTATTTTTATAGTCATTTCACATTTTATAACCACTTCCCAAATTCAGAGAGGCAAAATGGCTCATCCAAGTAAACTCGGTGGTGAAGGTGGGACTTGAACCCAGCCCTGTCTAACTTCAGTCTTGCTACTCCCTCTCCCCTCTACCATCTGGAGCTCTCTCACCCCCCCCCCTCCTCTTTCTTTTCTTTTCTCTTTTCTTTTTTCTTTTCTTTTCTTTCTTTCTTTCCTTTCTTTCTTTCTTTCTTTTTCTTTCTCTCTTTCTTTCCCTTTTCTTTCTTTCTTTCTTTTCCTTTCTTTCTTTCTTTCCTTTCTTTCTTTTTTCTTTTTCTCTCTTTTTCTTTCTTTCTTCTTCCTCCTCCTCCTTCTCCTTTCCTTATTCCTTCTCCTCTTCTTCTTTTTTCCTTTCTTCTTTTTGCTACTGAAAGAAGCAGTTTCTAGCGCTGCGGTGGGAGAATGCCTCCTGGATTACACTGGAGGCGTGCTTTGTACCAGGGATTGGAGCTGGGCTTCAGGATGCTTGGTGACCCTTGGTGACTTCCCTCACTTTCTATTAGTGGGGGACGAAGACAGCTTTCCTAGGCTGCTGCCAAAGTTGCACAGATGAACATTCACAGGGGCATGAGGGATCTCGGAGAGGCTTTTGGGTTGCTCACACTCAGGGATAAAGTGTCCGGTAAATCAGGAAGGATGTCCCAGGTCTTTGAGCCCCGTCCATCCTGGTGGACAGGGCTGCGAGGGATGCGGGGACATTTCCTTTCATGCCTGGGAAATTCTGTTTTTGCAGGAAATGAACCAAACCTGTCCTATTACTGAGGCCCACCCGCCTGGAAATCAGGGTGTGTGTGTGTGTGTCGGCTCTTCACTGCTCCCTCCCTCTGCTTCCAAGCCTACACACTGTGCTTTGGTGTTTGATCAGCTGTGGAAGGTTGGGCTTTGGGGCTGGCCCTCCTGGGTTGCATTTTCAGCGCAGGAGCAGAAACCAGACCAGGAAAAGGCAGAGTTGGGAGCCATCTATGTTGAGCTTGGCTGTCAGTTCTATGGGACTTTGGGTCCAGGTGTTTCCTTCTGTGTCTGTAGGGTTAGATGCCAGTGGTCTGAGAAAAGGGAGAAAGGGGAAGTATGGTCCCACGCTCACCCCACCATTTCCCACCTTGTCTCAGGCCACATCATTCCTCACGCTGCTGGTTTCCTTGATGTTCTCTGGGTTGAAATGCTCCCATCTTCTTCCCATTCTTCCCACTGCCCTCAATTTTCTGTTTACAAACTCTAGCTAGCAGCTCCCTGTGGCCACAGCAATACCTGGGTATGGCATTCTGGGCCCTTGCAAGCTGGCCCCAATTCACAATGCAGTCATCAACCAGCACTTCTGAGCCTCGTCCCTTGTCGCTTGCTCCTTTTCTTAGGCTCTGTGGTTTCCCTCTTCTAGCGTAATTCTTGCTTCTATATTCTATGACTGCATGCAGCCACCAAGGCCCAGCTCCCATCCTCCTTCCTCTGTACAGTTTTCCTGGACATTTGAATGAGGCTGTCACTGTCCTTATCCCTAATCTGAGCATCCTTCAGCACAGCCATGCCATGCTGTCTTGCTGCATTGAGTGCCCAGCATCTGCACTCAGCAGAGAACCCTCAAGCTTGGGAAATCCGGTTCATCTTTGTGTCTCCATGCCTGATGCGGGCCTGCCATTCAGCAGAGGTGCCATTGTCATTTGCTGACTTCCTGATTGCTTGAGTTGGAGTGAACATTAATGCCGAGAGCAGCTTTGAGTCTGGAGGTTTGAAACGTTTAGCTCAAAATAGGCCATGGACTCCACAAGGCTGTGTATGTTTTTAGAAGGTATTTGAACTATTTTGCTAGTCTGCTGTTTATTACCCAGGAGTAAGGGAGGAAAGAAGGCAGCAGGCACCCAGATGTGACGGGTGTGAGCCTTGTGTTTGAGTGGGTTAGCCAGGACTCTGGCCTGAAGAGATGGGTCTTTAGTAGCTTGGGTGTGGTGTGCTGAAAGAAGTTTACGACTTCATGGGAGAAGCCGGTTATGGACACAATCTGTCGCTCTTCCCAGGAAGGCAGCCTTGCTATGGTGAGTTTTCAGGTGGACAGCTGCCACTCCGGATTCTGAGACAGAGGGAGCATTGTAACATTTTACAGCTTGTAAGGGCCCTGATGGTTCACAGTCCCCATGTGCCTCTTTGCAGATGTGAAAGTTGCATCCCAGAGTGGAGTAAGTCACTGCTAGATTCTAGAACACTGTAAGTCCGTATGGCCAAGGCAGGGCCAGCACCTCATCTGTGTATTCAGTTGTCTGTACTGTGACGTTTCCCTTCTCCCACGCTCCCCTGTAGCCCTGGTTCATCAGCTCACCAAATGCCTGCTGTGCAGGCTGGGGTCCTCCTTACTTTAGCATGCAGGCACCATAACCTGGAAATTCCACCACCTGCGTCCGGGCACACTATCTTACTTCTGCCCATACCACCTTCCCCTGTGAAGCTTCACCACCTGCCACTGTTTCTACCTGTCTTCTGAATTGCAATAATAGCTCTTAAGCTGGGATTCCTGCCTCCAACCTTTCCCTCTCCAATCCATCCTCCCTCTTCTGCAGGAATGCTGGTTTTAGCTTCCTTTTACCCCTCCCAGCCAATTCTCCCCCTGTACAAACTCCTTAATGTGTGGATAAGGCTGACTCTTAAGACCAGGGTGCTGTCTCCCTCTTGAGCCCACATTTTGGCTCTGCTCAGTGCGCCTCCTGCTTTGCTGGAATTCCAGGGGTTCTCCAGAGGCACTGCATGGCCTGAGCACCTTGTTCCAGTCTAACCCTCTGCCTGGAGTCCCCACTGCCACTAAGACTGCATGGTCAGCTCAGTGCTGTTTGGCCTCATTGCCATTGCCTCCTCTGAGAAGTCTCTCCAGCCAGGGCCCTTTTGTGCTTCCAAAGCACACTCGATTTCTGAATTTCCTCTTCAGAGTCAAGTGTTGCTGAACTTCTTCTGAGCAGGACTAGGCATTAATCTTCTGTGTTTCCCTAATACCTAGTGTGGTTCCAGGCACAAGTTGGCATTTAATAAAGATATTTTTAGCAAAAGAATGTTGAACTTAAGGATTTTACGCTGCTGATGTCTCTCAAAATGTGCTAGGCTAGCTGTATGACTGATGCTGGATACCTGTGAGGTAGGAATTTGTGCAATGTAGATACAGTGTAGTAAGTATGATGGCATATGAAATGGCAGCCCTAGCCTATTTGTCTGTTTTCTCTGAAGGAGTCACCTTATCAGACAACAGAAAGAGTTTGGATCCAAGGAAATTAGAAGCAAAGAATATGTATTTTAATGAAAAAGATGTATTCCATTAATCAAGCAATTCCATTCTTAAAGTATGTACATTTTCCACTGCACCATACATTCTTTGCTTCTAATGTTAATGCTTAGAAGAGAAAGCCAAGATGCAAGTATAATGATATTCAGAGAGGTTCTATTTGATAGTGAAAAGGTTTAAATACCCCAAGTATGCAACAATTGGGCATTGGTTAATTAAAGTATGAGAATCTCTATGGCAGAATGCTGTGCACCTGTTAAAAACAATGACATTGAGATAATACTTGCCACATATTTTTGAGTGTGAAACAGGTCACAGAGTGACATGCATAGTATCAGCTTATTAAGCTATTAAGCTTTTAGCTATTAAGCGTTTAGGAAAGTTACCATTTTGAAATTTTTTGTCTTTGCTTATTATTTAATAGAATATCTATATTATTCTAATAAATTGGAGTTTTGGGTGGAGCCTTGGTTAGAAGGTCCAGCCCCATTTTCAGGTTTGAGAGGATGTGGGACTTGTTTAGCATCAGTGGGTCGTTTTTGATTGCTTGCCCATGGCTTTGAATTGAAGGAAAAAAACTATAGAAGTGACAAGTGTTCGTCTTGTATGTTTGATGTTATATGCCACGGTGAAGAAGTGTTAAGCAAATTGGAGACAGCAAAAATCCGGATTCTTTAAAAGACAGAGTAGATAGCAAGCCTTTGATTCAATTCTCCAAAACATCATGATACAGGGAGAGAACAAGATTGCTTAAATGGTGTTAACTAGGGAGGATTTTGTCCCCTGGTGTTATTTGGTCATATCTGGAGACATTTTAAATTGTCATCATGGGGGGTGGGGGTAGGGGTAGGAGGATTTACTACTGGCATCTAGTGGGTAGAGGCCAGGATGCTGCTAAACATCCTACAGTGTGCAGAACATCACCCCCAACCCGACCCAAAGAATTATCCAGCCCCAAACTTCAGGGGTGCCAGGGTTGAGAGATGCTGAGAATCTCGGCTTCAAGGTCTGCTGGTTGTCTGATAGGGGCAGTTTATTGAGCCTCTCTGGGCACCGTTCTCATCATTAATTAGAGTATATGATTCTAAGGGCTATTGGATGTTTAAAATGAGACTGTGTCAACTAAGTCCCTGGTTCCCCTTTAAGCAGCCAAGTGTCCTATTATATTGAGAAATACGATTCTGAAAACAGATGTAATTTACACCCAACCTTTTGGTCTTGCTTCTGCCCATAAAGGAGGATGCAGCCATATGGCCACAATTATCAGGCAGGTGCATCTGTTTCGGAGGCTCTTTCAAATGAAATTGCTGACTCTTTAGCCCAAGTGAGCCTCCTTGACTACTTAATTCCCTGATGAAAGAGGTGCCTCCTGACTGCCCCC